AGGCGTCGGCGTCGGCATACAGCGGTGCCCTTACACACATGCACAAACATACATTTGCAAAGAGGGTGGGAGACGAGGGGACGGGGGGGGGGGCAGATAGAGGGACACACACTGGTCCAGTGATCCGTGTGCGAGTACAACGTCCCAGCAGATACGTGGACTTAAATGAGCAGTACGACCAAAAGATATTAATTATCTCACAGCCTCATTAAGTACACGGAAGCTTGAGTGAGGCGCTCAATACATTTCTTCATTAGGAACAAAGGAACAAAGACGGGGCCACTCGGCAAACACAAAGCTATCTGGTTCTGTTATCAATAAGTTATCAGTCCCACTCGCTCCGTACATTCAGCTACTCCTGTGTCTCCACACCTCTCCAACTCTGGCCTCCGCAAATGTGTGAGGGATAGAAATGAGATGTGTGTGTGTGTGTGTGTGTGTGTGTGTGTGTGACCTTGCTGCAGTCATTGATTGGGCTGGAGCTGTCAATCGATCAGTCTGGCCTGTGTGTGTGGAGATAAAGGTGTTTTCTATCTCTGGACACTCTGTTTGCCAGGTGAGAGACAGGGAGAGACGGTGGGTGAGAGGGAGAGCGAGAGAGAGAGAGAGAGAGAGAGAGTCAGTGTGTGTGATTTTACAGCCTTTTACTGCTGTGTTTTGAGACTTTAGTAACTTTATTGCAAGGTAACAAACTTTAAAGTTTCAGTGGTGTTGAGAGGAGAAAAGCAGGTTTGTTTAGTGATGGATGTTCCTGAATGCACATCAGCCTTGTGTGTGTGTGTGTGTGTGTGTGTGTGTGATAAGAATTAGACAGTGTGGATAATAATCGACTGGGTGCAATCACTGTGTGCAGCTGTGTAAGATTAGAAACGTGAACCCTGATCAAGCTGAATAACTCGGGGAATGCCACCGGAAGAAAAAGAAAAAAAAAGGCAATGTGAGCCTTGTAACTTTCAACATGTTAAAAAGTGACTGGAAATGGAAACATTGAAAATCTGTTGGTTTAAATAAATGAAGGATAATACTGTTTTATTGGCTAAGGGTTTCATTCGTGGTCAATACAGAGGTCATTAAAACTCATCTTTTAAAAATCCACTCATCTTTTAAAATCCACGTGAAAAGAAATGTGCTGACACTCCACTAAAGGAATAATATTATGGCTTATGGTGTGATTGGATACAGCACTTTTATTTTGTACAGTCACGATCTTTAATTTATGATATATAAATGCCGGCTAGTGTTTTTAGTGCTAAATCAATGCTATAATAAACCTAACAGAATATAAAAGAACCATTAAAGACACCAGATTCATTGACCAACGCTGAAAAGAAGCTGGACACTAAATCCTAAATCATCGTGTGTTTTGGAGGAAACATTGATTTTTAGAAACTAAATATTAGTTAATTGACATTTCGGAAATGTTTGTGCACGCTAAATGAGTAGCATTGCTTAGCTGTTGGGTTTGGGTCGCGTAGCTGCTTGCTAGCTCCTGGAGGTCGTCTTTGGTAATGCTACATGTCAGCTCCTAGAGGTCGTCTTTGGTAATGCTACATGTCTGTTGCAGCCACTCACACACACACACACACACTCCAATGGGATCTCACCCCCTCTGATCTAATCTTAGAAGAAATGCCTCCATGCTGATAATACCACAGAGTGCAGGCAGTATCTGCCGAGTGTCTCACCTCTCCTCACAAACAATCAGCACATAAGAGCTGATAATGAAAGAACAAAAAAAACACCAGCAAAGTTTGAACAACTGTCAGAAACAGGAACTAGAAGAGGAACCTTGAAAAACTTCCTCTCTTTGTCTACTTTGGTCTTCACATCTTAATGTCCTTCCTCAGTTTTAAGCAATTTTATAGTTACATAAAAAAAAACACATTTGTGTCCCTAGGATGAATGAAGCTGAATAAGGAAGGTGTGGGAAATTAACGTCTCTTTCTTTTCTTTCCTGATCACGCCTTAGGTCTTTTTACATTGCTCTTGTTTGCGCCTGGCGGTTCACTCTGCCTCTGTTTCTCAGTCAAAACCAGCGAGTGTCAACTGACACAACCGCTTCTGGGGGACTGTTCAGTGTGATACAGTACAAACGTTTGACAAGCCCCGCCCCGTCGACTCTGCCGGACCTTGACACGGCCTAACTCCAAACAAACCTTCAGAACGAACCAAAACAATCCGGGGTTCACTATCTTGCGGTCACTGCAAGAAATGGCGGTAACGCTAAACAGGCCCGGGACCAGAACAGTAGCCGAGGGGGAGAAACACTGTCACGCACATGTGATCCGAGTTTTAAAAGAAATCCCACACAAGTTGCAAAAATGGACACATACAGGGAAACACGGCGAGAAGATGAAGATTTATAGTGTTTGTCTTCACCGGGTTTATTTTAACTTAATTTAAAACCATACGTTAACTTTCAGCTATTTTGATTGGAAAGAGAACCACCTAGAATGTTTTGAACACTTTCTTGTGGTTTTGCCTTTTTTTTTTCTCGCAATGCGAGTCTTGTACTTTATCCATCCGTGGCCTGGATAAACGCACAATTCTCAAACTTAATTACTTTAAACACAGCCGCCCAGTCATCACCGCCATCACTGGCATAAACAAACGCACTGAGGCACAATCAGAAATCAGTCATGCAATCATAACAACCCTCTCATCACCTCCTACACATCGCAATAAAGCACAACACATGCCTGTAAAAGCCCACACACACAGAGGCTGTAGCCAAATCTCTCGTCTCAAACCTTCCTCCACTCACCGATGATGTAGTAGTCATGCATGCTCTTGAATTCGTGACCCCACAGGTTGGGTGAGAACTCCTGGAACTTGATGGTGAAGCGGCGCTCGCGGGTGGGTTCGTCACAGGTGAGCACAATGTTGGGCGCGCCCATCACCTCGCAGCGGTCCGCCTGCTCCCGAGACGACACGAGGTAGAGCTTGTAGAACTCGTACTCTGGTGTGGATCTGGCCGTGTCCAAAGGAGGGCAGATGAGGTCCAGCCGGTCCCCAATCTGAGGGTACAGTATGTAGCCCTTCTCATCTCTGAACCTGGATTGGAAAAAAAAAAAAAAAAAAAGGAAAGAAGAAGATGAAAATGAGTCAGGGGAGCGGGAAAGGCTGCGAATCATTTATCAAAGTCTTCCTCCGATAACAATATAAACCAGTTTACAGCCACACATCCCCGCAAGTAAACGAGCAACAGATGGTTCCTTCACTCCTCTAATTTCTACTCCTATTATTTTCTCTCCTACCAGAAGAACAGGTGCCTTTACGGAGAGAACCCTGTGCCGTCAAATGCAAAAAAAATAAAGAAATAAAAAAAATTACCACACAGGCACACAGCAATCCCCTGCTGACTTCATGCAGGAGCAGAGGAAACAAAAGGAAATTATGACCATGGCTTCACGACCCACAGGAGGAAAATAATCTACAGCCAAATTAGAGGCATAAACACAGTTCTGAAAGTGAACAGTTCCAAGCACCGTTTGTTCATTAAGACTCTACCATGTACTTTAAATACGAGGATAAAGTAAGGTCATAGTAAAAATACTCCCTTATCTATCACTGCTTACATTTGTTTTATTTTTTGTATTATTAACACATCCTAGAAATTAGGGCTTTCAAATATAACATTTTTTTATTACCTGATTAATCACCGGGTATCTGTGGATTAATCACAATAACACATAGTTAATCTCATCACAAGTAATTTGGATTATTCATAATTAATCACGATTAATCGATTTTTTTAGTGCAGTGTTTTCAAATCAATCATGATTAATTATGATTATTCATGATAAACTGACAGACTGAAACCTTTTCCTGCAGTGTGTTCAAATGACAGCCTGTGTTTCGACCTCGTATCGGAGCGACGATAAGTGAATGGCTGGTGGGATAAATGAACATACAGCAAACATGCGTTAAAATGCGTTAAAAATTGGAATCTGATTTTTACAAATTAATTAATACAATCAACACCTTGTAAACAATAGAGGAAGTAAATAACAAAGTCAAACGTTGTTTCTTAAATGATTTGTTTTTTTTTTTTAAACTGGCTTGAATACTGAACCCAAAGTTGTGCAGGCACCATTTTACTCTGAAGTACAGAGATGTCTGGAGCTGGACAGAGGTTCGGCGTGAAAAGCTCTACCTTTTAACATTTTTAGAAAGTGAGAACCGAGGCATGTGCCCAGAAGACGTCGTAGACGACAAAGACGAGTGGAATGGATCCGCCACTGCCAGCGCTCAGGTTGGCACAGATAATTAGTTTGCTAATTAACTGTCGCGATATCAGTCTGTCATCCTCTTCTGATATGAAGGATGTGCGGTTCGCTCGTCTGGAGACTAACTGAAGATTTGACACCTGTCATCTGCGGGGAGCCTGCATCCTGGAGTGACTCTGAAGCAACAGCTTAATTCAATTTAACCAAAGTGCACGCATGGGTGTGGTTTACTAATGCAATGTAAATTTCTGTCTGGGAGCACACACACACACTGGGTCACTGAGTGTGGCTCACTGAGAGCTTGGAATACAGCGGTCGAAGCCCGGTCATCAAAGGGCAAGAGACTTTACTGTCTGTCAGTTTTACTGCTCATCATGACAAACACATCGAATTAGCCCATGAAAAATGAAAATGGACGTTTGCACTGCTTATTTAGACATAAATATCTTTTTCAGTTCTCGTACTTTCAGGAATATTCTCAGAGTTTTTTCTTTGGCTAAAGGTTGTTTTTCTCATGTCCTGATCCAAGACATTTTACCACCGACACCATTTGTTCGTTAATCATGTCAATAACTGCTGATAAATCCGTGTCTGTTCCATCTGGGCCTAGTTCTTCACTTTATTAGATCAGTCAGATTATTTCTTTCTTTTTTTTAACAGCACAGCAGCAGCCACAGCTAAAGTTTAACAATTATCTCTGTTCACATTTTAATTAGCTTTGGCTAGTTCTCAAAATGCCTCCATTTTGGATCAGACATTAACAGTTTAATTAGTTTTTACAACATCAAAAAGTGGCTAAATGAGAAAAGATATTTTCTTATTAACTTTTGCAGTATCTATTACTCTTTTTTTTTGGTATCTGACTGTCAACGACATGCGGATGGAAATGTTCAAATGAAGCCGTAGTCCGTACATGTCTGCGTACGGGTGCTGCATCGGAATGTCCAAAACATTCTTTTTACAACCGACTTTCCTTGTAAACAACATGGCCTCCAACATGGCCTCCAGGCCTGCACTGCATTCAAGTGGTCAGAAGTCAGAACCCAAACTGCTGGAGACTAACAGTCAAGAGAAGCTGATAGAATATTCCACAATTATGTCTACAGAACATACGGAAGACATTCTAAAAAAACCCACAAATCTGCTACAACAAATAACTAATTTGATTCAATATTTAACTTTGGGAAACATCATTAGGTTTCCAAATGCAGAATATTTAAATTAAATCATTCCAGTATTTTTCTAAGGCTTGGCTACGTGCCGCACTCCTTCATGTGCATTACTGCCACCTATGGGGCCAGCTTCTACGGTTAAACTATTTCACCAGTAGAAAATAAAATATTCATTTTTAAGAATCATGTATAATAAACAGGAAGTTGTGACTCTGCTGAAGAACGCTCCTCCAGTGTAGAAAATGAGGATTTTTATTTAATTATATTTTCAGAGGAGTTTTACTGCATATACCCCTGTTAGGGGATGAAAAGCTCTTTTAAAAGGATCTTTATGAGGTGTAATTTAATACCCCGGTCGCACGGGTCAAATTATCAGAGCAGCAGTAATTAGAGGAGGAGGATTTTTCCAACTCTGTTTTGTCGAGCTTGCATCTGCTCACACTGTAGCCATGCCCTGATGTATTCATGCAGGCTTCACGCACCTCTCAGCGCTGCGCTCCGACAGCCTCGCACCTGCAGTAAATTGAGACGCAGGCTTTATCTGTTGTGTGTTTGGCTGACGGTGTTGCACTGAAGGCAATGTGAGAATGCAGTCTAAGTGGTGGAGGAGCTGTAGCCCAGGCAGGCCCAGAGGCCTTCTGGGAAGCCACTGTTCCACTTCTCATTACCCAGGTCACCCGGGGTTATCAGGCCACACTCAGACTGGAGAGCTAGACACTTAGCTTCACTCAACATGCCGTCACACACACAGACATTTTACCTCCCTGTCTGCCTGACGCAGCAGAGCACTTTAACATTTATAGAGCAGGAACGATAAAGGCGGCGATGGTTTTCTTCTGCAAAGCCCCACAGTGAAAGATCCACAACACACCAACGCACACACACACACACATGCACTGCAAAAACACAAAAGGTTTACCCAAACATACCCACCCACATTTAACACACAGGTTAAGCTTTTTCCTAAACAGCAACACTGAAACCCACCCAACACACACACACACACACACACCCTTGGCTGCCTGCGTGATGCATTCTGTGAGTGTATCTGATGGTACTGAGTCACAGCTGAGCTGCATTGCAGAATGGCAAAGCAAACAGAGGGAGAGAGAGAGAGAGAGAAGGAGAGAGTAAAGTGCCACTAGGCAGGTGCACTATTCCAAAAAAAATTAAACTAAGGAAGAGAGAGAGAGAGGGGGAAAAATATTGTACATGTCAGGCGGGTTATGTAGCAACAACAAAGCAAAGTGTTGAAGGAGCAGAATGGAAACACAGAGACAAAAGCAAAGTGCCACAAAGAAGGGGCCGAGCCTTAGAGGGAAGAAGAATTAGAGGGAGAGTGATGGATGGAAAAAGTCCATGTAGAGACAGGACACAGACCTCAGCTCTCTCATAGGTTCAACGTCGGCGCTGCCAGATTTGCAGCATTAACCTGGATTAACCTGTTGTGCGTGAACGATGGCGTGAGTGTGCATCCACTGTAAATAGGAAGCTGAAGGGAGGACACATCACCATCTAATCATAAGTTAGACCCAGCCTCCACCACCAAGCACTGCTTAGTGGGGTATGAAACACACAGGCGTAGCATACTTGTAGAAACAAGACCATTAGCATTAGCTAAGAAAATAAATGATTCAAAATGAAGTACCTGTAAATTACTCAAAAGCGTACAGGGCCAACCACCATGAAAAAAATACTACAAAAATACCAATGTCAGAACTTGATATAAATACAGTGATTTGGAAGATACTTCCAGCTTCCAATACGTGTCATTTTCTGCATGAAACGTCACAGGAACCAAACTAATGACCAGACAAGTCCAACAAGGAGATAACAGTATTCAAGTAGACAATAATTGGCGACCAGTGTTGGACACCGGTGTTGGTGGGTTTTATTTGTTTTGAACACATTATTCAATTAAACTATGACTGACATAATTTCTCCAAAAAAAAAAACAAGCACCAAAGATACTGTGACTGACACTCTAAACTAAAAAGTGCCACGCCTTGATGAGGTGGGCGGAGTCATCCATCAAGTGCACAGACAAAAAGTGAAAGGAGGCAAACTTACAACTTTATAGAGTTCATTTACGACCACATGGAAGTAAATCTTCCCTTTTTACCCCCAGGCCTGGACAAACTGGATCTTTTACCTTTGTGTTTCCCTTTTTGCTCTGGGACAATCTCTCTCTCTCTCTCTTTCTCTCTGTGTTTTTTTCTGTCTCTCCTCACCTCTTTTGCTGTCCACTTTCTTTCTCCCTCCTTCCCTTTTTCTCAGCCATTCACAATAGACCCATTCATGTGGCCACACTTTGAAACATGGCGTGGGGGACTGCAGGGGACCAGAGGCGACAGTAGAAGAGAAGGGGGGGGGGGGGGGGGGGGGGCAGGGAAGAGAAAGAGGAGGAAGACGATGTAAGGGGAGTTGGGAGGTGCAGAGGAGAAAGGAGGCGGGGGTTGGAAGGCCAGAGCTTCACTCTCCTTTTTTTTCTCTTCAGCTCTTTTATGAAAGCAGAAACATCATTTTCTCAACCCATGCGTTGCCCCAGCATGACCCCCGAGCTGGGCTGAGAAGACTCAAGTGTCATTCTCCATGACCTCCCTGCAGACCTCTCACACCTCCCGCTCCTCACCCTGCTCTCATCCCCCATGTG